ACCCCCCCCCCCCCCCACCTCCCCTTCAAAAAATCCTGGATCCGCCCCTGCGATATAGGCCTATATTAGCCTACCTCTTTTATGAGTCCCCCTGTTCCACTTTATTGAGATGACTCAAATGTGAATTTGCATTTGTCTGATACTGTCGAATTTTTATCTTATGTCTTTTATGAATTTTGACAATATTAGCCTAATAGTTTCATTATTGAAAACCCTTGTTTTATCTCGACAATTTGTATTCCTTTTTTCCTACATACATGTAAGTTTAATTTGCATGCTTCCAGCCATCCCCCTTTTATTTATTTCAATTAAGTTACCGATAACTCGGAGGGAATACGAAAAAAGAATGTATAATATACTGTACAACTGAAGTCAAATTGTAGTCTCTGAAAGTTAAATAATGAATGTGCTCTTTGCCCTCAATTGTGTTAGTTGAGATAATAATTGAACCTCTAATTGTAAAAGAACATCAATTTCCATGCGGCATGTAAAACGTGTTACCAAGCTTCTCGTGACAAATGCCAAAAGATTATATAGAGAGGTACAAAGATCGGTTCATTTTTCGCAAAATGCATACCACAGCGCTCTTTGCTGGTGTCAATATAAACAATGCACTCTAGATCTTGCAGTTGCAACTCACGCTAGCTAAGCAAGAACGTACAGGTACGCACATATACAGACCGGGTGCATGAGAAAAAAGCCAAATTCAAAGGTAAAGTTTAAGGCCGTCTTACATAACAGTGATGCTTTAAGTTTCGTGGGTATTGAAATTAAATATATGTCATTAATATGAGATATTTTATCAGAACAAAACTTAAAGAAGCATCTTTTTTTTTTCCTTTAGAATATAAAACACAAGGAGAGAGGGTATAGACTGCCCATTCATGTACAATGGATACAGGACTTTCGTGTATGACACTGTGGCCGGTGGCAACTTTCATCTTTATCTTCGTCATTAACAGATATATGCACAAGCTACGCTTGAGTCCAAGGACATACAAGGATAAATTTGTACTAATCACAGGTTTGTATGGTTATACATATATATATGCACATGTGTGTGTTTGCATGCATGCATGTATTGTATGTGTACATGTACATGCATGTTTGCAAGTAAAAGTACGTGTGTGTGTGTGTGTGTGTAAGTGTATGTGTGTGTGTTAGAGAGAGAGAGAGAGAGGTTGCTGACTATTCATATATACACTATATGCATCATAATTTTTTGTCGTACAATTAATATAGATTTACAAGTATAACAATCATAATAATGACTATTTTTCCTTAATTTACCAGACTGGCCAATAAATAAAAAAAAAATAGAAAAAACTGTCACTCGCAGCCCCTGATTTGTGTTTAATACTAGACTACTTCAGTCTGCTGTCATATTTCTGTTTTAGGCTGTGATTCAGGATTTGGTAAGATCACTGCTAAGAAGTTACATGAGATGGGATTCAATGTGTTTGCAGCCTGCTTGACTGAGAAAGGAGTGCAGGAACTTGCAGGACTATCTCAACAGGTATTGGATCTTTAGTTCATAGCATCCTAACGAGCACGGCTTGAATACATGAGCTGCATCCAACTTACTAGTTCATAGTTTTAGCCAAAAGATTATAATATTCTATGGTCGGACTAAGAAAAGAATGAGAAATATTTATTTACATTTTTCTGCGAATTTATAATTGATTAAGTTGATTACAGTACTGTAGGTGATTTTTTATTGCTGTTTGTCTAAAAAAAATGTAATCATTATAAGTACTTTAAACTCCAACTGCAGCAAATTATGTATGAATTATTCAGTATATTGTTCCTATCTAACCTGACACTGTTAATTATTTTCATATTCGAAAACCATTTTTTAATAATTTTTGATAGATATATTTATCTACATTTCTGTAATTTTATTTCTCTTTTGAATCTTTAATTCACAGAAACACTTGTACAAAAACTTAAAGAGAAAAATTTAAATTTCAAATTAAATTATATTAATATATATTTTTTTAATTTACTGTACTTTTCCTCATGGACCAAGAAAGGCAGGCTGCTCCCATTTCTGATGGATGTTTCCAAAACAGAGAGTATACAGCAAGGATATGAGTTTGTATCTCAACATATCCCAAAGGGAAAAGGTAATACAGTTTTATTGTGTCGTTTGTTATTGTTTTAGTATTAGAATTAGTAAAAGAAAAATACATTAGTTCCAAATGAATAGGGCCCTATGGGTGCAGTTGTTCATGTGAGTATGAAGTGAGTTCTGCGAGTGTAATTAATGGGACTCATGACCAGTGTTTTAGAATATTTAATTTAACAAATTAAAAGGAATAGTTAACTAAATGTTTAAGACAAAAAGTTACCTTTATTATTTATTTTTTTAATTTGAAATTTTAATGGAGCACCATGTTTTATGCAGAATTCATGTAGGCCAAAGTTTTGATCTTAAACTTAAGACAAACTTCAGATCTTCAGTTTTTTATGTGAAACTATACCCCTTAACGTACACATTCCTCTCATATAAGAATAGTACTAGTATGATTAAAAATGTCATCAGTTCTTTTCTCACAGGTCTTTGGGGTCTAGTGAACAATGCAGGTATCAGTGGAGGTTTTGGCCCACCCGAATTCTTCACCAGGGCCACCTACCAGGGCGCGCTGGACGTCAATACCCTGGGGATGATAGATGTGACCCTGAGGTTTCTACCCCTACTTAAACAAGCCAAGGGGAGGCTGGTTAATATGTGTAGTGTAATGGGGCGTGTTTGTTTGCCGCTGTGTACGCCTTATGCTGTTTCCAAGTTTGCTGTTGAGGCGTTCTCAGATGGGATGAGGCAAGTGCATACTCGAACACATTTGGGGACAATGGGACTTTTTGCCATTGTGTGATTGGTGCATTTTGGTTTTACATTTTAAATTGAAAGTTTTCAAAAATACATGTTTTATATTGACCTTTGAGTGTGGGGTAAAGGTTGGTGTTGTTTCAGAAATCTTAGGCCCCACTGATCTTCGTGTATCGATCCAAATTTGCGGGCACTCTCGCTGACTTCAATCAGCTTAACTGAATGCCACGACTCCCCCTGGCGTTAAGTAGAACACGGATAAGCTGGTGATTGTACCAGGGCGTAGGAAACAATAGGAAGCGTGTCATTGAACAGGCCCGTAGCCAGGGGGGTTCGGGGAGTTCGAAAGAACCGCCAATTTCGGCGGGAAAAGGTCCACTTTGCAATTGGGTAAAATTTGATGTGTCTTCATGAAGTTTTTATGGAAAAAGGTCCACTTTTTCAGAAAAAGACCCCCCCCCCTTTTGAAATTGCTGGCTACGGGCCTGTCATTCTGTTATTAAGCTGATTGCACTCAGTAAGAGTCCCCGCACAGTTGGATCAATCTTCGTAAACCGCCAGGTGTATATGGGAATGGGGTCCTAGATACTGTAGTACTCAATGTGACATCTCTTCTACAGCGTGCAGGGGCGGATTTAGGCCGTCTTCTGGGTTTTCTGGAAGACGGTCAGATTTTTAAGTTAACATTGACGGGTATCTAATATTTTCTGTCGGAAGACGGTCAAAAATGGAGGATGGATCAACAAAGATAATTTGGAAGACTGTCAGAAAATATCTCTGGATCCGTCCCTGATGATATTGTAAATACATGTACCTCGTGTCTATTTCCAGGAAGCACCTCAAAATCTGGGGCGTCAGCGTCCATGTAATTGAACCAGGCTTCTTTACCACCAATCTCAGCGACCCTGCCAGACTTTCGGGCGAGTTTGATAAGATCTACGACAATGCTCCACCGCCAGCCAGGGAGGAATATGGCGATATTTATGTACAAGAAGGTAGGAAGATGCACGTGTGCATGCGTGCTTGCTCCTACACGCGTACACGTGATTATTACGCGAGCATGTGCGTGCGATTCGTGTATTCACAGACCACAGCGTAATTTATTGCTTGCGTTCACTCTCTGGCACAGAGAGGGAAAGGGGCAGAGAGAGAGAGAGACATGAGAGAGGCAGTAAAAGAGACGAGAGAGATCTGAATTACTGGGTTGTGGCATTCGTTATCAGAGCCTGATTCAGTATGAAGATGACATGAGGGAGCGATGCAAGCATGTGTAGGCACACACACGCACACACACACACACACACACACACACACCTGTTAATAAACATTCAGGTTTTGCCGTATTATACCCATAATAAAAAAATCAGGATTTTCATGAATATTTTAAAAATCTTGATAGGCTGCATCAAGACGATGTGAAAGAGAAGTTTTATCCGTTACTTTCTCGAATGTCACTTAGTACAAGCAAGGAGTTATAACTCCTTGGTACAAGTTAACATGATATTATAACTTTTGCGTATTTCGGATTTTCATTTTCGTGTTCATTGCATATTTCATTTTTAAAAATTATTTTAATGTTTAATGTGTTTTTTACGTGTTATTATTATTATTTATTTTTTTGTGTTTATTATTTTTTAAAATTTATTTTCCAGTAAAAGAAGTCATTGTTAAAGACATGGAGCGGTCTTCCAGTCCGGATATTCACTTGGTCCGGGACGCCTATATAACAGCTTTGACTGCGAGGTTTCCATACACTCGGTATCATGTTGGAACGGACGCTCACATCTTCTTATTTTTCCTATCTTTTTTACCTGGCGCGTGGGAAGATTGGTTACATTCTTTTTTCAATACTATTGTGCTTCCTGGTGCTTTAAGGTAAAAAGACAAATGATTCGAAAGTTGGTGATAAATACCCACCTTTCTAAAGCGAACTGTTACACCGGACTTGGGAACGCTTGGAGAAGGATTTTTGCATACTTAAAAGAGTCAAACCCCTTCAAATTTGGGGTTTGACTGCGTTTGATATATAGTCAGTATAGTCAGTTTTAAGTTCATACATACGTGTTGATGAATTTAATATGTTAGCGGCTATTTTTTTTTAACATTTGAGATAGTCATTTGGAGAGTGGATCAGAATTCGGTTTTCAAGCGGTCCCAAACCCTGTGTAACAGAGGCTTATGGAATCACGTATATTCTGTACGTGACTTATGGTTTAACTTTGTTAACTCAGATCTCATAGGTTATGTAATTTTTTTGCTGCAACTCTGTTCATTTTCACTTCAACAACTGTTGAAGCGTAAAAAGTTAAACGTCGGTTTTAGGTAAATCTACCTCGGGTATTTGGATTTATATATCAGTCCATATATTTCACATCTATTTTGGAATACGTTTTGCATTATATGTCATTAATGAATGTTCCTTTGAACCGTGTTTTTCATATTTTTACATCACACATTGGTCTTATGCTTTTACAATTGTTAGGTCTACCAGCATCATATTCCAATTTTTTTAATCAGAATTGTAATTTTTTCAACCAATAAATAAGGAATAAAAGTTTAATTCGCCAGCGGTCCGAAAAAGTTAACATACGGACTTTTGGGGTCTTCACTAAGTAAAAAGTCTATCATTCCTTGAACAAACTCGGCTTTCGTGATGACGCCATCACTATCCGTGTCCATAGCTCTAAAGACTGGCGGGGAGTGTTCTGCAGGAACGAAGTATGAATAGAAAAATGCGGCGTGTTCCTTGGGCGATATCACTCCGTTTGCGTCCAAGTCCAGGGCATCAAACTCGGAGCAGCAGGCAGTTATTAAGCCAAACCGCGTGTTTTCCTCGTTGTACGCCTTGAGACAGTTTTCCGTGAAGTCATTTAGTGTGATTCCCTCCATGTAGGGGGCGTTGGCGGTGATGTACTCCCACATCTGGAGCTGCGTCTCCATTACGTCCGCTGCCATCTCGCCTGCAAAATTCAGGAAATTATTAAAAGAGGTAAAATTTATGCTGCCTTTGTCGCAACTATTTATTTTAAACGAATTGTACATTAAGTTACATTTCATTTATTTAACTGTTGTTACAAGTCTATAGGCGTCTTAGAATGAGATCTTAATTCAGGGACAGGAATCACTGCAACACTTCCCAACGAAAATTGTTGTAAACTCGAGCGACTGTTGAAAAACATTTTAATGTTTTTTAACCAAGATAAATCAACAGTAATCCACTGAAATGAATCATAGCACCTGTTTTTAAAAATTAAGTAACTGTTATGGGTATACTTTATTTCAGCGGACTGGTGCTACGGTAGGCTACATGTGCCAACAACCCTTTCTGTATATAAAACCCCTTAAAGTAAAAACTAACTTTTGACCGCGGGCTCATCTTCTTCTTTGCGACCAGTGTCACTTTTTTTCTATTTTAGGGACCACAAAACGGGATTTACCTGAGAGGTCCATATACTGAATTATTCTCCAAGCACTCATCTCGTAGTCGACTTTCTTGAGGTAGCCGTCCTTATTGACGTCCTTGTATTGGAACAGTGTGCGAAATTTCCGTCGCCATAATTCGTTTCCGGTTATCTTCGGGTAGTCTCGTGGATGCTAAAAAAGATTCCGGCACAGATATCGTGTTAATAGTCCATTTCAGTCTTAAGGCAAGGATAAACGATACGCACTGTTTATTTTTCTTGATTAATTGCACTCTTTTACATTGGACTGAACATGCACGTGCTTCTTTTAAATACTCTGTAGATCTGAAAGAGTACATGCATAATTCTTTGTGGAAGACAAGATCATTCTGCAAAATTTTGTAATTCAATGTGCTGCAGATTATTGTCCGTAGCCCATAACATGCATGTTACGTAAATAATACACATTTTGTGAATTAACCATATATGCAAGATATAGTGCACACACACACACACACACACACACACACACACTCTTCGTTCTATCATGGACACTGAGCCGGATAAAATCTAACAATACGCCTAAACTGTACATTTTTGTCCTTGCCAGGTAGAATGACTGGCTACGGCTATTGCTACCGAAAGGTCAACTAAACAGGCTAAAGCCCACTGGTCACGTAATATGCACATTAAAGAAAACAGACTCACGGCAAGTACTGCACAGTGACTATAACATTATGTGTGCCCAGGTGGACTTAGGAAAGGCCCACAAAAGAAAATGTTGAAGGCTATTTTGTAGTCAAAGAGTTCAAAAGACCCAAATATATTGACCGTATATTGGAGTACTGGCAAGTTGCAGTGTCAAGAGGCATGTGTTGACCAGCATCATACATGTACATAACAAGGGAGCAGACACATAATATACTTTGGTGTACTTTTAACATGCGTTCCCAGGACGACAAAAATGACGCTAGGCTCACTCGGTCATTGAAAAATTCGCAAATAAAAACCGTGCTGGAAAATATACTGCAAAGATTAACAGCTCGTCGAAAGGACGGATAAGGGTGTAGAGTCATTAAGACGATGGTTAATATATATAAAACATGTTCAGTTAAGTTGGGGCTGTCTTTATATACTTTATAGCCAGTGATCGTCTTCAGTAAAAATGATATAGGCCTACCGGTAAGTTCTACTTGTGTCTGCTGTCAAAGAATGATGAAGTGCACTCTTGCATGGTTTGGCTTACCTTTTTCAGTTTAACTGACTGTTGTTTCAGGCACCTGTAAGGTTGAAACAGTCTCGGAGTAATGGATAACAACGATCGAGACATTTTATGTAGTCCAAGTCTCGAGACAGTTTTCTTACTAGCTGCCTATTGACCTCTGAACTTTTATTTTCCCATGATGCACTTCAAAATATTAAATAGTGTTTGTAACTCACTATTTCATTGTATTCATGCATAAATATATTATTGTAGGAGTATATTATAATTCGAAATGTCCAGGACTCAAGGAGTATCAACCAAAAACGAACTATAAACTACCCCTATTTATCTAAACACATTTCCATTTATTTTATTTTGTTAGGTGTTTGCGACACCTTTTGCGTTGACACACGTCATAATTTGTACTCGTTAGGTACATATGATTTTCACCTGATTTTTAACCCTACTATCAAGTAAATGTAAGCATTAGTTACAACATGAGTCGTTCATTGTAAAATTTGTATCTGACAGTCAAGAACGTAATTATATCAAGGCACAACCGTGTGATATAGGGTATTTTCTTACCAAACCCCAAAAATAAAACATGCGCTACTTTTCAGACTTTTGTACAAATTAAACAGACGTAATAGAACCGATTAACGCGCGCGTTAAGGCGGCTAGACATGTAATGATTGTTTCTGTGTCCGGTTTTTTTTTTTTTTTTTTTTTTTTTTTACCAAATGTAGATTTTCATAACGTTTCAAACTACCTGTACCAGTGTAACACTTAACCAGTGGATCGCTGTTATCCACTGCATTTATAATAATAATGATAATGATAATAATTGAATCTATTATCCAAATTTGTTCAGTAATCTTTACAATAAAACGTGAAAAAATAATAAAAAGGCTAGTAAAAATTTATGAAAACCGGAAAATTAATTAAAACAAATAATGTAGCAATTAAAATGTTCTCGATCACTCACTTTAGAATGTCATTAATAAAACTCCATGCATATAAATTTTAAATGCATAAGTCTTGAGTTCCCTTTTAATAGCAACTGGAGAGTCTATCCTAAACAGTGAAAGTGGCAATAAATTCCAGTCCCTAGATGCAGCTACTGTAAAAGAATTGTCCCATATGTGGCAATTGCTCTAAATGGTAGTTCTCAATTGTTTTATTTCTTTTATATAGGCCCTAATATTTAGTTTAATATTTAGTCCAAGCATTAAATTATTTTAATAATTTAAAAATTACGTTATTTTATATTGATATGATAACCAGTTTATACAGCAGGTGAGTTCTTCAACTATTTAAACGTTGTGTCACTTATAAAATAATTTATAAGCTATTCAACTCAGGTAGGCTACATCTCAACATCTCAATCGTCTCACAACCAGTTGTGACAGCATTGTGTTTGGGCTATCTTGAGGATATACAAACACAACTATCCACCGATTATACCCTACGGTGAAACACAGGTCATGCTTGCTTTACGTAACACACAAAAGCATCATGTCCCGTTTAAAGTTCATTGGAGATAACCGCCCCTTAAGTGTGTATACAGTTTTAGGACAGCGGCGGCCATGCGTATATAGGTAAGTCACTGTAGATTTTCTATATGAATGAAATTACTGCTGGGCACTTTTCAATGCCAGCGACAGCTAGTTCATATTGTACCAGTGGCATTTAAAATTTAATTCAATAATTTAAACTTTGTGTTAGATATGGGACACGCTGTCTTTAAGTAAATTAAAAAATGTCAGTGTTGTCTTTGCTAGATATTATATTTTTTCGAAGAAGATACTTGTCGTGTTATTACATAATAGTGTGAGAAAACCGACTTTACAGAGAGAGAGAGTGAGGGGGGTGTTTGAATTTTTCTTTTTAATTTAGGATCGAAGTGCAAGGGAATTTGTAGTAGTACACATGGTATTTACCACAGCATGGCCTTGACTTGAACCAGAGGAGTGATATCAAATATACAGTTGTTATGCAGCTGGCATACAATCCAACAGAATAGACTAAACAAAGTGGAACACATGACAATGGATGAAAAATTAGGTGAGAAAAATATTGCTGAAAACATATGTACCATAGTATAAGTTAACTCAAAATGTTGTGGATAATAATGTGATATACTCGTTATATGATACAGAGGTTTTTAATTGATTTGTTAAAAAGTATAAGTGTTTTTATATTGGCACAAGTATTCCCACGTTTCAAGTAACATGTCATACAAGCTTATATTATGCGCGAATATGTCTACTAGTATGTACTGTAAGCGAAGGCTACTGTAATAGAATAGGTCAACTTCAGTGGAGATCGAAGCAATCTTTTATACATTTGTCATGTATCATTAAAAACATATATCTGATCTTCTAAAGAGTATTTCTGCATTTATGATAAAATTGGATCTTGGTGCTGAAAATGCATGATGTACTGTGTGCTTTTAAAGGCAATTATAATTTATTTTCAATTCCTTCTGGGACCTTACCAGTACTAATGTTTTGAGTGTTTCTTTAGTTGCTGGTTGTATATTGGCATAGGCAGGTGTTTTGTAAATTCCCACTGGGGCCTTACTGGTGTCTTACACCCCATTTCCATAGATTAGATCGACCTACTTTAGATCGACCTAACTCCCTGGGGGTTCACGCTAAATAGCTGTCAGCCGGGCGGACACGAAAGTTAATTACCCATTTACAGCTTGTAGTAGGCGGGACGGACATTTAAGTCGGATTATCTGAAAGTAATCTAGTGAGACTCCCCGCGGGGATAGATCAATCTTAAATCTATGGGAATAGAGTCTTAAGTGTCTTTAGTTGTTGGTTATACAATGTCTACTAGCATGTCAAAGACCATTTCCTCATTTATTTGTGTGCATATTTGTGTCAACTGAGATGACCTACCTACATAACTAAGACTGCATTCCCACAGATTTAGATCAATCCAACTGGATCGACCTAACTCTTTGGGGATTCACACTAAATTGCTGTCAGCAGAGTGCGCACGGAAGTTAATTACCCCCTTACAGTTTTTAGTAGGCGGGACAGACATTTAAGCCAGCTAAGCTGACGTTAATCCAGTGAGACTCCCTACGGGGATAGATCGATCTAAATATCTATGGGAATACTGTCTAAGTGGGTCAGTTTGGCTGGCCAGTGGGGTCTAATGGGCTGCCCATAGGAGTCAGTTTGGCTGACCAGTCACACACCAGTGCTGATATACAAATGTGGCCAGAGTAACTTCCCCAGCCAATATTACATAGAAAAAAAAACACCAGCATTTACCAAACATTATATTTTAATTATCAAAATATGGTATTGATTCACTTCCTACATATATGTAGTATTTAATTATGATAAGGTTTATTTAGGTGTAAAGCTGAGGGACTGTGGAAGATAACTTTCACACACACCTAATGCATGCCAGCACATCTTCAACTTTTGACTTCATTCAAGTATGTGTGAATAGAATACTTCCACAGTCCCTCAGCTTTACACCTAAATAAACCTTATCATACAAGTACCAAAGGTTTCTTAATTTAAGCTACTAAAATTTTCACAGAGCATAAGTTTACTATAATTAATAATGATATATGGTATATACTGAATAACATAACAAAATGTGTATCATCTAAAACTTTTTGTATCATGTCTGTTAGGGATTGTGGAAGAAATAAAAAAATCAGGTGAGTACATATATCTATATGTATTTGCATGTTGGGTGCTCAACAGTCTAACCTGCATGTGTTTAAATCATTATTAACATGGAATATTTAAGGTTTAAATTCTGGAAGCAATTTATTGTTGTAAGTTATTAGTTTATAAATGTGTGTGTATGTTTGTCGAATTAAGGGTTGACAGTGTACTTTATGGAGATAAGCTCTAAGGGTTCTTCAAAGTTTTCTCTGTTCTCTTTCTTTTTGTGTCTTTGTCATTTTAACAGTGTGTACTAGTACCCATATAAACCCCAAGTGCATGATAACATGGTTTTCTTAACTGGGGCTGTATTCCCAAAGGGTTGTAACTTACTTTTTCTAGGAACTTTGCACCTAATACAAATTTCACAATGGTATACTTGTAACTGCATGAAAGGCACTGTTCACACAGAACTAGCGTCACTGAAATCTCACCGTAAATGATGTGTCAAAGATATGTTTTATTCTGAAATTACTTCATGTTAATAGAAATATACAAATGATAATCATTACATGATATATATGTGAAATCACTATTTTTTTCCTTTTTGCACTATGGTGACTGCTTGACTTATTTTATTATAAAATTTGTAACAGTTAATAATATATATCATCATCTACCAGCAGTGTTTGCAGCAGTGTATTTTATTTTTATTAATTTTACATTTTCTGGCCATCCTTTCCGCATTACTACATTTATAGCAAAAATTAAAAAAAACAAAAAAAACAGAAAAATACAAAACATTCACTAGTATTCTTTTCATTTCTGTTACTATTTATTGTTATATTTTAATATCTTTATGTCCTATATTGAAATGCACCTTAAGTACAAAAACAATATTCGGACCAACCATAATGAGTTAATTTTTGAGCTTGATATTTTCATTATTGAAAGGAAATCTGTTGCATCAATCTATAATGGATTAGCTTCAAAATCATTACTGCATGAAATATTAGAATGATAGTCAATTTGTTTGGATCCATTTGGTTTCAATAGGTCTAAGATTTTGTAAAGATTTTTAAAGTTTAATAGTAACTAACACATTGATATTATTATTATTATTATTATTATTATTATTATTATTATTATTATTGTTATTTTCAAATGAGTATTATTATTGATAAGCTTAAAATACTTAACACTTTTTTTAAAGAAATCAATATTTGATATTTAAAAATACATACTGAATGGAAAGTAAAATCAAAAGAATATGCATACTTCTGTTGAAGAAATCGACCAGGTTAATTTAATATAACACTATAGAGTGACACAATGACATGGAGAAAAATAGCAGGAGACTTAGGTAGAATGTTAGTAAAGTCTCTGTCACACTGGGCTTGCAATAGCTAATTGGAGAAGTTAAAGTCCTGTTAAAGTTGGGATTATTTGTCATTTCACATCAAATCTATATATCAGTTAAAATGAGCTTTAATATTTTAGCCTTTTCATTCAATACATAGTTGTGAGAGCCAGCCAAAATGTGTTCTTCGAGCAGTTCCAAGTGTGGTGTAACATGTGCTGAAATAGAGTGATTTATGCCTTTATGGTGAAATATGAGTAAAACACCATCTTCAGAGCAGGGGTTTCAGAATTACACCAGCATAATTGATTATAGCCAAGTGCTTGACATACACACGCATACACACACACACACACACACACACACACACACACTTTGGCAAAGAAAAGTTTATAGCATTCAGGCCTGTAGCTAGGGGGGGTTCGGCGGATTCGAAAGAACCGCCCCTTTTGCTGGGAAAAGGTCCACTCTGGGTAAAATGTGATCTAGGTACATGAAGTTTTTATGGGAAAAGGTCCACTTTTTCAGAAAAAGAACCCCCCTTTTGAAATTGCTGGCAACGGGCCTGGCATTGTAACACTATTTGTGGCCTAATTTGTCATTGGAAAATAGATGATGTATAAATGCAATTAGTTTTCTGCTAGAATGCACAACTTCTTCTAACTTAAAAGTACTAAATTTAGCAAGAAGCTGCATGTATAACACCAGTTTCAGTTTATCAGAACATCTCTAGTATGTAACCTGAATATATTATGGTAGAATATTTAACCCTGGTCAATACATGTACTAGTAGATAGTTTAGGGACCATTCCCAGACCCTATCGTACTAATTGTGGATCGATCAATCTCCAAGGGGATTCTCATTAAATTGCAATCAACTTCAGGTGCTTAGATGTCTGGCATGCATATACTGAAGCTGTTAGGGGGTGATCAACCATTGTTAAGCAGCTTTAGTAGGCATGTCAGACACTTAAGCTGCTTAAGGTGGAAGCAATTTAACAAAAAAAACCATGGAGGTGGATCGATCCTGTTAGATCAATCTAGGTATGGGAACCCAGTCTTAGTATCATTCATTGTGTTTCTTTTCATGTTGGTAACCCCCAACTTGATATAACCCATGTCAGGGGCTGTCTGGTTACGGTTAGCTCACCATAGGGGGCCATTCGAATCCCTCTCATATCCCACCCACTGCAAATGTTCTAGTTGTAACTTGTGTTAGATTGGTAAATTCCTTTTCTGAGCTAAACATACTGGTGCTAGTAATTATATACACAGCTCTCTGAGATGACCTGTTCCAAGTTAGGTTAACCTGCCTCTAGTGCATATATTTAAGATACCTTGATACTCAGGGTGTGGGATATTATGCAAAGCAAATTAACATATAAAAGTAGTTCCATTTGCATAAAACTTGATGTTTTGCTAAAGAAGAGGAATTATGTCAGTAAAGGTTATTTGACTAGACTAAAGGATGTAGTGTCAGCTGTAGAGGAGTATTCAACTGAAAAAAATGAGTATTTTATCAGACACAGAGATCATAAATGTTTCAACTTATTCAGGAGATGTTCCGATGTACGACAGTGTCGAGAGGCGGACTTCAGACAGAGCTGAGTTGGAAGGAGAAATTCAAGATGGCCACCTCAGTGCACCGAGCAGCAAGGGTTCAGCCTCCTCGTCCTCTGTGGCATCGACCTACTTTGAGAACAAAATACCGATTCCAAAAACTGACTCTGTGAGTGAGATACATTTAGTTTTATCATTTGAAGTCAATGTTGGATCTTGTTGCCGTTTGTGGACATGAAAAGTATTTTGAAATTTAAGTTTCTTTATAACTTCTGTATAATTTTTGACAGTATAATTTAAGTGATTGATACAGTTACAGTGGTCTGTGGCTGCGTTCAGAACAGTGGGCTAAATATGGCGGCCGACTAAAAAGCTTACCGTCTAATCTGTTAATAGACAGTGAATAGGTTCCCCAAGGGGAAGTATTCAAGTGGGTCGGCCATATTTGGCCCATGGACTAGTTAGTCCGCTGTTCTGAATGTGACCTATGCTGATTTATATTGTGTAGGTCAGTCAACATGATAACTTATTTATTTATTTACTGTTCATGTCTGTACTGTCTGCACTCTTAGTGATTTAATATGAATTTATTCGTCTGATTTCCATAACGTGTCTGCATTAGTGATGACGTGACAGCCTTCAATTAAGTAATAAGTATTAATGTCTTAGATGAATTCTGTCAACTCTGTAATAAACATGTAGTAGTACATCTAGTGGTCAGACAATGAGAGTTGCCCTGGCAACATTGCATTAACCTCAGTATTGGCAAAATCTGGTTAATTACAGATTTGAAATAAAACAGAACACCCAAAAAACAAACAATAAAACACCCAAAAAACAAAGTAAGTTAAGTGTCGAAAAGGAAAAGCTGCAATTTACAAATCACTATAATAAAATGCACGTATGTTGATATCTATATGCTGTCCGCACTCTTAATGTTATCAGTGCCTTTTAAGTTATTCCTGATTTAGAAAAACTGACTCGTGGCTTTTCTTTCCTCCAGTACAAGTTCAGCTTCAGGAAGCTGTGGGCGTTCACAGGTCCTGGGTGGTTGATGAGTATTGCTTACTTAGACCCTGGTAATATTGAGTCTGACCTGCAGTCAGGGGCCAAGGCACAGTTTAAGGTGTGTATCTGCTTAAAAGAAGTTATTTATTCTTAAAATATTCAACTGCTGGTACATGCATCACCTTGATCAGTTAATGAATCTAAAACCACAAGAAAAAAAAAACTTGTATGAGGACACATTAGTCTGCCATAATGCAAAAAAATAAAAAAAATCTTATGAATATTTTGAGCAAATTTTCATACATTTCCATAATTTTATGTAACCATAAATCTTAGTGATTCTGAACAGCCTCATTAACATATCTTTGGGATTCTGGGTTACATAACAGCTAATTTAACCACTATTCCAGTTATTATGGGTGCTCCTAGGGGCCACAATCCTGGGCCTGCTGCTACAGAGGCTGGCGGCCAGACTGGGGGTGGTGTCGGGAATGCACCTGGCAGAAGTATGTAACAGGCAGTACCCTAAGATCCCCAGGGTGATCCTGTGGGTCATGGTGGAGATTGCCATTATAGGTAGGTGCAGGCACCCTGAGAGCGGATTCTCAACGAATTGAGCCAGGCTTTACAAAGCCGGTGACCTAAAAATGGCGGACGTATATGAAAGAAAACCGCATAATCTTTTAATAGTCTCTCCGCCTCCCCACACGTCATCCCTGCGGGATACAGTAATTAAATCTCGGCTCCGTTCGCCATGCGGAAGCTACCTGAGAAATATTAAGTGCGCATGCTCATCAGTTAAACTCGTGGTGAAGAAAGCATGGCGGCTGAAGGCGTTCGAAGGAAAAAAGCTCTTCTGTTTTATTATCTGTCAAAACAGAGACGAAAAAGGAATGAATTGGCCCGTAGAGCAGCAACGAATCGACTATCTACGGAGATAATATCACCAGAGATATTCACAGAACTACCCAGCCCCAGTAGACGTAGTTGGAGGTTGGAGCCGAGATTTAATTACTGTACCCCGCAGGGACGACGTGTGGGGAGGCGGAGAGACTATTAAAAGATTAGGCGGGTTTTCTTTTATGTACGTCCGCCATTTTTAGGTCACCGGCTTTGTAAAGCCTGGCTCAATTCGTTGAGAATCCGCTCTGAGTTACAGAGAAACAGATTTGGAAGCTGACTCTCACTTTCAGTATAACCCCCGAGTTTAGGCTCTGTCACATCTAGAATAAGGAGATGTACATGATTACTTATAGTATGTGACTTCGATTATGTGCACAACTTTGAGTGTATGAAGTCACTGTGTTTCAACCTATCAAAATGAAGATATAAGCAGCATATGGAATTGTTTTTGAACATGCTGAAAACATTTGATCTCCCTTCAGGTATGTGAACATACAGTAACATTTGCCTTCATACTCAAGATCAAAGCAAGTCTAACAAACTCCTTACATTTGTCTGCATATGGGCAATTTTTCTCATACATTAGTGCTATATGCTAGATGTGACGGTGTCTTTACCGAGATTGACAAAAACTGACCTCTACTTTCAGTATTAGTATGACTTCACTGTTTCCATGGAGGTTTGTTTACAGCTAGTGATCTCTGCTACTCATTGGTGATTTGGTTGTAATTTGAATTTGAATTTTTTATTTTGTTAATTTATTTTTGTAGTTAATTTGTTAAGGAGTTCAGGGTTATTAGTAAAATTTTGGTCATTTGATTCCTCTCTTTCGTTTTGAAGTTTATTTTCGATACACTAACATATCAAAGTATTTGGCATTTTATAGTATGTTTGTGCATTGGGACAGGCTTCATTTATTTATTCCTATTTTGTTGTAGGATCTGACATGCAGGAAGTAATAGGGACGGCAATTGCAATATATCTACTTTCTAATGGAGTGTAAGCATTAGATTCTGCTTAATAGATAATATTTGGCCATTTTTTAATATAATTCCATCTCCATATTAATTGGAGTTGCAAAATACTAACTAAGATCGCATTCACAACGAGTTGAGCCAGGCTTTACAAATCCTGGGGACTAAATATGGCGGTCATACATGAAAGAAAAACCGCCTAATCTTTTAATAGTCTCTCCGCCTCTCACACGCCTCCCCACACGTCAATCCTGCGGGGGGACAGTCATTGGGACGACACATGGGGAGGCGTGTGAGAGGCGGTTTTTCTTTCATGTACGTCCGCCATATTTAGTCCCCAGGATTTGTAAAGCCTGGCTCAACTAGTTGTGAATACGATCTTAAAGTTAACTTACGTCCTACGGTATGGTACCTAACAATAGACTGTTATATGGGTGATGATATATAATGGTGGTGTTTAAAATTTTTGTTTCAGTATAAAATTATGGGCAGGAGTGTTAATAACCATAGTGGACACCTTTACTTTCCTCCTTCTGGACAAGTATGGCCTGCGGAAACTGGAAGTGTTCTTTGGTTTCCTTATTCTAATCATGGCAGTTAGTTTTGGATATGAGGTGAGTTTTGGGAAATCAAATTTTGCAAAAACTTTTCAGCATCTCAAACTTTTCATCTTGATCATCTCTGTAAGTACTTTTCTAAATTATAAATAAAAAGATAAAATGTAGAGATAAAGAATAATCTTTATCCTTAGTACCTTGGCCTGCGTGAAGGGGACGCCACCTCCAGTGTTGTGCTTGACAAGCTCTCAGTGGTTTTCCATAAAAAAGCACTTACTCCAGCTGGTGGTACAATGCCTGGAGGCGGCATCACCTCTCTGATCCTCTAGTAATGATCTTTTTTTTTTTCCTCAGTACATTGTGGTTGCGCCAGACCAGGTCCAGGTATTGAAGGGGATGTTCTACCCTAACTGTGAGGGCTGTGGTACTAAGCAGATACTACAGGGAGTGGGCATAGTGGGAGCCATTATAATGCCACATAATATATACCTACACTCGGCTCTGGTCAAGGTAAAAAAGAGATTGTTGTGCTCCGTATAAAATGCACGAAGGTGTGTGCACACACATGGTGACGTGTGCGTACACATGTATGTCATTGTGTACAGATGTGTTGCAGTTATATGCAGATATGAACACCTTGATATATGCCACTGATTCATTTTGTCATACAAGAAGTCAAATTCTGATTTTTTGAGTAAAACTGGAATATTGTTAAAGAGTACGATTTAATTTAATGGCATGCTATATTTTAACCAAGTACATCACAGAAGCTGTAGTTTGGTTCAGTAAAAAGTGAATGATATACATACATTTATTATGATACAATGGAATTATATATATTTATATTATTACATCCGAATGAAAGGATTGATTTGATGCTATTGAAAGACATGTACTGTCTAAAAGGATTGAGAGTGTCCATTTCATTTTCAGTCTAGAGATATAGATCGGTCAAAGAGAGAAAATGTCCGAGAGGCCAACATGTACTATTTCATAGAAGCAGGGGTGGCTCTCTTCGTTTCTTTCCTCATCAATGTGTTTGTGACATCAGTGTTTGCTGAGGGTTTTTATGGAAAGACTGCTCAAGACATTGTAAGTTATTTAAGAAGAAATGTTTTGTGTATAGGCTTACTCTGGCAAAGGAGATTTTTAACCTAGTGCTTACCTTATTATTATAGTTTAAGTGGAATAAAGGAATGTTTAAGTTCTTTAGCCCAAATTTTAATAGAGAATATATTTGCAAGTTTTGTAAATCTTCGTAAACCTACTGATGTACGCATATCTTTGCTGTCTGGTTGTCGGCAGTTACTGTGACTGATAGTTAACATTGATTTCAAGAAGACAAATGATTGAGGCAGTGTACTGTATATTACCGCATTTTATACTTGACAATAGAAAGATTTTAAAATCAGATCAAGTTGATGATTGCATATGTTGATATCTGCATTATTTTCATATTAACAGAAATATCTCTTTTCAAATTTCCAGTATCAAGGTTGCATTGCTCATGACAACCCCCACTCCCACGTGTTTAATACTAGTAGTAATGTAAGTTTTATTGTAAATCGGCTCAATTTCAGTTTATTCCTATATAATACTGGCTTTCAATAACAGTAATGATAGGGTCCTATTGGTTTGTTCTGAAAATTATAGCATGATTTGTTATGAATTTATTGATTAAGCAAGTGTTAAGTGAGACTCATTTGAACACTAAATATTAACATGTAAAGCAATCTGCCCAATGTTCTTCTTCTTTAGTCACCTTATTTTGAGAGAAAAGAACTTATATGTGAGGAATCATTAAAGATTGAAAAAATTAATGTGTTTAATTTTTTTCAGACAAGTTATCCAGAGGTTGACATATACAGAGGAGTAAGTATTTTACATATGTTCTAAGCTAGTCCAAGTTCAGCAGTGTTATCCTATCAAAGTTGTAATTATAATTGATTCTTCAAACAACAGATAAAACCAAAGTTTTTTTTTTTTTTTTTTACATATAGGTGACCTCCTTTACTTAAAATGAACTACCATCTTTCACATACAAATTTCTTGTTGAGACTTTTTATTTCTAACGTATAGATGTATTCCAGGGTGTGTTTCTTGGCTGTACATTCGGACCAGCTGCCATGTATATTTGGGCTGTGGGAATTTTGGCTGCAGGACAGTCTTCTACAATGACGGGGACATATGCCGGGCAGTTTGCAATGGAGGTAAGTCACTGGTACTGGTTTATAATTGATAGACAAACAGAAAGGCAGACAGACAGACAGACAGGCAGGCAGATATAATTGTACTCTTAAAAAAATTAATGGGGAATTAGACTCTATTTTTAATAAAAACCAATTTCCCATTAATTTAAAATTCAATATGACTGTTTAAATGTTTTGTATGTGTAATAGTATGGATTTATTAAAAAAATAGTACTATGTCAAGTTTCTCTACCACAAAGCAAATTTACATTTGTTCATAATTTTGTTTCTTGATAACATGAAAAGCTTTCTCATAGTAAGGGTGTTTATGATGTGTACAGATGAATATAATTATGATTTAAAGGTCAACTTTTATCTATGATAATTTACCTGCACTCTGAATTGCAGGGTTTTCTAAATCTGAAATGGAAACGCTGGCAGCGGGTTCTGCTGACGCGGTCCATAGCCATTCTTCCCACAGTGCTCCTGGCGGCGTTCGAGGGTATTGAGCAATTGACAGGGATGAACGACTTCCTCAATGTTTTGATGAGTCTGCAGCTCCCTTTTGCTCTCATTCCGATCCTCACATTTACTAGCTCGGATGCGGTGATGGGTGAATTTAAAAATGGAAGGTGTGCAGTTTCTGTTCATAGCCTCTGCTTTTTACTATAATGTTACGGTGGATTTGATTTTAATTTTAATCCTAGATTATAAAATGTTGTTCAACAGAAAGTACTTAAATTAAAGCATTTCTTAATTATTTTAATGAATGCTGTTCACTATAATGTTTCCGTGAATTTGATTTTAATTTTAATCTAACAATATTAAATGTTGTTTAACATTTAGAGTTAAAAAGTACCTAAATTAAAGCATTTCTTAATTATTTTAATGAATGCTGTTTCCTACAGTGTTACCGTAAATGTGATTTTTATTTTAATCTTCGTATATTAAATGTTGTTTAACATTTAGAGTTAGAAAGTACATATTAAATTTAAGCATTTCTTAATTATTTTAATGAAAAATATTTACTTTTTCTGTTTCAGGCCAATGCAAGTGTTCACAGCTCTATTAGCCCTCCTGGTAATCTGTATCAACCTGTTTTTTGTGTCTTCCTATATATCTGAACTTCCCAACCACTGGGCCATATATCTGGCTATTGCACTGGGGATATTCATATACATGGGGTTTGTAGGATATTTGGTAAGTTTAATGTGTGTGTGTGTGTGTGTGTGTGTGTGTGTGAGAGAGAGAGAGAGAGAGAGAGAGAGAGAGAGATGCAGCACACGTGTATGTCCATTAACTGAGTATTACTAATTGAATATTTAATACTCATCAAATGCCTGAAAACACGTGAATTATAAATGTAATGAGAACAGAAGAGGCCCAAAATACATTTAATAATTCAATAGCAATTTATGATATAATCATTTGATATTATGATGATAAAATGTAACATAATGAAAACAGTCTGACTCCTTTAAAGATTAAGTGAAAGGATATCTGTGAACAACCTGTAGGCTACAAAATTGTGCAGGCTATTTGTATGTGAAATGTTGATATTATAAAGATACAAGCAGTTTCTTATATAATCATCAGTTTTGACGTGCACTTTCAGTGCTGCCTTTTCCCTGTAGAAGTACAGGTATACATATTTTGATAATTATTTCAATGACATCTTTCTCTCCACAGGTGTGGTTTTGTCTGGTGATATTGGGATTGAAACAGCTGTTAAATGTTCAGGTGAGGTCAGTTTTAAAGAGTAAAAGGCGGCTTTAATCATACATCCTTTGTATTTAAAAAAACTCAGTGGTGGATCAAACTAGACTGTTAAATAAATGTTATTCATTTTAGATTTATTTCTATTTTTGAATTTATGCTGTCCTTCTTAATGTCCAACCTGTAACAATCAACATCATGGAGGATTTTTTTCCTCAATTGCTTCTAGAACATTTTTACGTAAAGGCTATAACCTTTAAAATATTATAAGACATTAAAGACATATGCCTATCTATAATTGAAACCTAATCATATATTATACAACTACAGTTAGTCCATATTTTACAGAATTGACATAAATGACTTTTTCATTTTTCAGTGCTGTCCTAGATTCCTCCAACCAACAAGCTACGAGTTGGACTCGGAACGGGCAACAACAAGATTGAACTTTGATCTTAATGCCGAAGATGAGGAGTGACAGAGTCAGAAATAATGGTTATTTTTGTTAATCCAAGATATTGTTACTCAAAAATTCAGTACACAGTTTAAGTGTTATAACTGTCCTTTGGGTCATCATATTGTTGGAAGATGTCCAATAATTTGAAGATGGAATGGTCTCAAATGGAGCGTTGTCTCTGAATATGGTCCTTTTAAATTAATCAAAATTGTTGTAATACTTTTAAGAGTTTTTTTAGTCTTCCTACTGTGATTCAGTATAATTGAAATCTGTACCAGTTCACTGAAATGAAAGGGACTTAAAATCCTCATTCACACAGACTTTGTTAAAAAAAATAGTTTAAAAAAAACAATTAACCATTTATTTCATTTAACTGTAGCTGAGGATTTGAATAATTCATAACAATTTTATCGTAAACCAAGAGAAGAAAAGACCTTAAACATTTCAGCCCTCTGGTCACTGGCTGTTTAAGGCCTCAAATCTACTACTACAAATCAGAATTGATATCTCTGATTTCAAAGATGAAATTTTATAATTTTAGATAATGGTAAAAAAATAATTGCAACTGCCAAAATTTCCAGAAGTCCAACAGGAGTATTTAGTATCAATGGAAATCCTTATCTCTTACGTAATTGGTCCATGACCAAAGTGTATGGGTAAATTGCCTCACGCCAGAAGCTAAGTTTTACATATCACAGACTTCACAAGCAATGTTTGTTACTGCCACTTAAAGACTGCTTTTGTGCCTTTTATCAAGCAATATTTACTGCTTACCTCAAGTGATTGACAGGTGAAGAAACATGGGGAAGAAGGATGAGGTACTAATATAACCAACTCAGGATGATGACTTAAAGGTTTTTTTTTTTAATTTTAAGGCATTCAGTATTTGGCTTATACTGCCAAACAAGCTCAATTATCTATCTTCAGTTTTTATCTCTTTGTACTGTACAATAGTAAGCAGTCAGTAATTGATATATTTACAGACAGCATCCAGTAGCCAAAGATTAAAGGGATAATAACTCTTGATTTTGGCCAAAAAATGAATTTTCCTGGAGTAAACAACAATTTTCCCACACTTACCAATGGTTAATGGATCCATTTTTACATTCAAAGTTAGTCCCTGGTTTTTTTCTAAAAAGTTTGGTTTTTTGTTAAAATCTCTTAAGAGATTTTAACAGAGTATAGCCATCAATGGAGGTCACGTCGTCTAAAGACAAGCTCAGATATCAGAATAATAGCTATAATTGACGTTTTTCTGGTAAAACAGAATATATTATATTTCTGTGACTTGTTCACAATGTTTTTATTGTGAAATATAGATCTCATACGAAGAGTTATTATCCCTTTAATCACAGAAAATTTAATTATGGACAATATAATGATACTTGGATAAAAGTGAAAAAATTCTCATACTCTTATATATACAGAATAAACGCCACAGGGTAGAGGTATAGTATTGAACTAAAAAGTAACTATTATATATAATAGCTCATGGCTCCACTTATATGTACCTTTTATATATGGGCATTCAATGGTATTCATTTTGCATTACGGACAAAATTTTTACTTTTAAGGTTATTTTTTTCAAAAGTGTAGTTCAGTATTGATTAGTGCAAGTCTTATCACTTACGAAATGAAAACAATTATGGTTATGATTATGGTTTTTAAAAAATAATGATAATTGATCATTATGGACAAGAAAAAATGTACTACATTTTTATCAATCAACTTTAAGATCTAAACTCTGCTCTTTTCAATATTTTTAAGACATAGTAATATCAAAGTTGAGTTTTGAAGAAATATAGTGCAATGTTTCAAAGGCTTGGCATTTATCACAAAGAATAGAAAATGATCAGCATTAAGTATTTTATCAGTTTTTTTTTTCTGATAAATTTTCTGATTTTAAGTTTGAGATATTAAAATATTATTATAAAATTAAAATATTATACAATTAAAATTATACTGGGTATTATCAGAACTGAACAACAAATTTATATTCAACAAACTTATTTTTATAACATTTTGCAAGTATTTATAAAAGTTAATGTTCCTTGAGAATTTTGAATTAATATGAACTAAATATTAGATTTTTAGGGGTCTCGTTTCTCTCCAGCTCCAGAAAGGAGCAGTATTTCAGAAAATACCGACTTATTATTGAATTGTATTTAATATATGCACATCAAATGTCTGTATTTTAAATTTTAAACTATATATTAAGATCACTTATGTATACAGTCTAATTAATCAAGTGCTGATAAATAACAGTTATAAAGAATTTATTTGACTTTTTATGTACAGACACAGATGTGTCTGTACATATAGCCATCATCTGCGTCTGTCGTCGCCGTTGCCGTCGTCGCCGTCGTCGCCGTGCACTTTTACCGATAACACGATAAGTGGAAAACTGTTTTTTATTTCAGCTTGAAACTTACAGAATTGATGAATATTTATAATATGCAGGTCAAGTTCGAAAATCAGCATGATCGGGTCACTTGTAGGGAAGTTATNTATTATGATGATAAAGTATAACATAGTGAAAACGATCTGACTCTTTTAAAGATTAAGTGAAGGGATATGTGTGAACAACCTATAGGCTACGAAATTGTGCCAGCTATTTGTATGTGAAATGTTGATATAATAAAGATAGAAGCAGCTCCTTATATATTCATCAGTTTTGACGTGCACTTTCAGTGATGCCTTTTCCCTGTAAAGGTATAGGTATAAGTGTTTCGATAATTATGTCATTTCAGTCAATGACATCTTTCTGTTCACAGGTATGGTTTTGTCTGGTGATATTAGGATTGAAACAGCTGCTAAATGTACAGGTGAGATTGGTTTAAAGAGTAAAAGGTGGCTTTTATTGTACATCTGGGTTCTTTATATTTAAAAAACTCAGTGGGGGATCAAACTAGACTGTTAAATAAATGTTATTCATTTTAGATTTATTACTATTTTCAAATTAATGTCATCCTCTTTATATCCAACCTGTAAAAATAAATTTCATGGAGAATATTTTTTACCTCATTTTTACTAAATGTCTATAACCTAGTGATATTATAAGACAATAAGACATATGCTTATCTATAATTGAAACCTAATAATATATTATACAACTGCAGTTCGTACATATTTTACAGAATTGACATAAATGTCTTTTTTATGTTTCAGTGCTGTCCTAAATTCCTCCAACCAACAAGCTACGAGTTGGACTCAGAACGGGCAACAACAAGATTGAACTTTGATCTTAATGCCGAAGATGAGGAGTGACAGAGTCAGAAATAATGGTTATTTTTGTTAATCCTAGATATTGTTACTTAAAAATGCATCACACAGTATGCATATCAGGACTGTCCTTTGGATTGTCATATTGTTGGGAGATGTTCAATTATATGAAGTTGGAATTGTCTCTAAGTGGTACACTGTCTCTGAATGTGATACTTTTAAATTAATCAAAATTGTTGTTACAGTAATACTTATAAGAAATTTTTCCACTGAGATTCGGTATAATTGAAATCTATACCAGTCCATTGAAATGAAAGTGATTTAAAATCCTCATTCACACAAACTGTTGGAGTTGAAAAAATACAGTCAACCATTTACGTATTTCATTGAACTGTACCTGAGGATTTGAATAATTACAACAATTTTATCATTAACCAAGAGAAGAAAAGACCTTATAATAAACATTTCAGCCCTTTGGTCACTGGGCGTTTAAGGCCTCAAATCTACTACTACAAATCGGAATTGATATCTCTGATTTCAAAGATGAAATTTTATAATTTTAGATAATGGTAAAAAAATAATTGCAACTGCCAAAATTTCCAGAAGTCCAACAGGAGCATTTAGTATCAACGGAAATCTTTATCTCTTACGTTATTGGTCCATGACCAAAGTGTATGGGTAAATTGCCTCAAGCCAGAAGCTAAGTTTTACATATCAGAGACTGCACAAGCCATGTTTGCTACTGCCATTTAAAGACTGCTTTTGTGCCTTTTATCAAGCAATATTTACTGCTTACCTCAAGTGATTGACAGGTGAAGAAACGTGGGGAAGAAGGATGAGGTACTAATATAACCAACTCAGGACGATGACTTAAAGGTTTTTTTTTTTTTTAATTTTAAGGCATTCAGTATTTGGTTTATACTGCCAAACGTGCTCAATTTGCTATCATCAGTTTATATCTCTTAGTATTATACAGTAATAAAGCAGTCAATAATTAAAATGTTTACAGACAGCATCCAGTAGCCTAAGATTAATCACAGAAGATTTAATTATGGACAGTTTAATGATATTTGGATAAAAGTGGAAAAAAATTCTCATACTCTCATATATACAGAATAAATGCCACAGGGTAGAGGTATAGTATTAAACTAACTATAACATATAATAGCTCCACTTATATGTACTTTTTATATATGGGCATTTAATGGTATTCATTTTGCATTATGGACTATTTTGATTTTTAAAGTTTTATTTTTCAAAAGTTTAGTTCAATATCCATTTGTGCAAGTCTAAAATTATCACTTAAGAAATGAAAAAACATTGATTAGGTTTTTAAAAATATTGATAATTGATCACTGTTATAGACAGGAAAAAATGGACATGCATTTTTATCAATCGACTTCAAGATCTAAACTCTGCTCTTTCGGTTATTTTAAAGACATTATTCTAGTTATTGGAAGTATCAAAGTTGAGTTTTGAAAAAATGTAGTGCAATGTTTCAAAGGCTTGAGTTTATCACAGAGAATAGAAAATGATCAGCATTAAGTATTTTATCAGTTTTTTTCCTGGTAAATTTTCTGATTTAAGTTTGAGATATTAAAATATTAATTATACTGGGTAGTATCAGAACTGAACAACAAATTTATATTTAACAAACTTATTTTTATAACATTTTGCAAGTATTTTTAAAAGTTAATGTTCCTTGAGAATTTTGAATTAATATGAACTAAATATTAGAATTTTTAGGAGTCTCGTTTCTCTCTGGCTCCAGAAAGGAGCAGTATTTTCGAAAATACCTACTTCATATTGAATTGTATTAAGTATATGCACATCAAATGTCTGTATTTTCTATTTTAAACTATATTAAGACCACTTATGTATACAGTCTAATTAATCAAGTGCTGGTAAATAACAGATGTTTTAAACAATTTATTTGACTTTTATATCATTTACTCTTTACAATCGATGCTTGTGCTTGTTCTATTCAGTCAATAAAGCACATAGGGAAATAAATTGCAAATAATACAATGTAAGAATATATATATATATATATATATATATATATATATATATATATATATATATATATATATATATATATATATATATATGCAACGGTTCACAACAAAGTCTACTTTTCTTTGTTCTTATCATGGACATAATAAGAGAATGACCATGTTCTTATTTATTCCATACCATCTTGCTGTAAATATATAAAGAGCGATGAGCAAAGAAGAATGTGCGATCATCATAATAATGTTATTAATAGCTATAATCTTAATATATAATAAGCATAATAATAATAATAATGATAATATAAAGAGCGATGAGCAAAGAAGAATGACAGAAAAAGGCGGCGACGATATTTATAAGCGACGAAAGGCGGGAAAGATGACCAATGGGAATGAGAAAGTAAGATGACGCCCACGTGACAAAACAAAAGACGAACACGAGTGAAGAAAATACATTCATACGGCTACATATATATATATATATATATATATATATATATATATATATATATATATATATATACTAAAAGTTACAAATCGGCACTCCCTCTGTGTGGCAAAATTAAATTTGTCATTATTGAACTATTACTACTATCAATAAACATTTTTTTTTTTTTCATTTGTTATTGTAATAAGGTCGCGCGGGTCATTACAGACTTACATGTATAAGTTATTCATTATAATTATGCTCTGTGCACTCGTTCCCGGATAAATACTATCATTTAAGTGTGATATCTATTATCTGTAGCAAAAGTCGCATTCCTAACGACAAGTAGAAGCAAATACCACCTTTATTTGAAAACAGGCATGCCGAATTTAAAAATGAGTAAGCAATCGTAGTCTGTAGGAAAATACAGAATTCCCACAAATGTGCACTGCGAAATTTACACAAATGTCCTTTCTCAATGACAAAACATACAAAATACCACATTTTAATTATTGTCTTTTGGCGGGGGGTCTTGTTCTGAAAGAAATGGACCTTGATGACCCTAGATAAAATTTTACTCAGAGTGGACCTTTTCCAGGCAAAAGCGGGGGTTCTGTCGCCCCATTTCTACCTTTTCTGCCAAAAAATAATAGGTGCTGATATAGGACAAATATACACCAATCCTTTAAATTATTTTGCTCAGTTTAAATGTGTTTTATTCGTGCATAGACAGTTAAAATGTTAATTTTGTAGAGTTTACTAATGGAAAATTACCCATGAATGTAACATACAAAACAATTCAAACGTGTGAAACCTAAACGTTTCCCTTTAAAAGTGTCCATCTATGTTTCAAGAGGTAGAAAGAAACAGCAATAACCTTACGGTTACGCTGTTCCGTAAGATTGAATGAAAATCCCGTCTTCTCTATCACAATTTATCCCGCCCTAGTTAGTTCTCAATCTATGAGGGTTTGCTATGCCCATTCACGCAATATCAAGTATGTTGACTTTGAAAGTGCGTTTTTATTTGTTTATTTATTTTTGTTGTCTGTGCGTGTCATTATGACTTTATCAACACTCAATCCCCTTTTCGAGATGAAGATTTATTGTGCTTTCTCACAAACCAGACTATAATTCAAACCGAGCGTCCGCACGGAGAGTAGGTGACCTCTTCATCATTATGTAAATCAGGTGAGTGTTTTGGTGAGAGGTGCTCAGATAGGACCAAGGTCAGTAGAAGGTGGAGAAGAAGGATGTCTTATGTCATATTACTGCTACTGCCACATGTAGGCCAAAAAGATGGCACTGAAACCGGCAGCAGTATCTTGTGATTTATTCCTTAAAGGGGCGGATTTAGGGCGTCTTCTGGGTCTTCCAGAAGACGGTCAGATTTTTAATTTTACATTGACGGGTATCTATTTTTTTCTGTCGGAAGACGGTAAAATGGAGGATGAATCAACAAAGATAATTTGGAAGACTGTCAGAAAATAACTCTGGATCCGCCTTCTCTGGAAGGCTTTAATTCCAGTGACTCTGTGTAACGTTTACGAAGATGCCAGAAGCGTCCTACTCAGAGACACGTTTCGTGTTCGACACATGCAGCCCAGCACCCACGCCAAGATTGCCTCCCATGCCGTCGTTTGTCTGCTCGTTAATTTGCAGGGATGACGTTTAGTACGTTTAGTACGTTATGTTTGCTTTTGGTTGTAGCATTCTGCTCCAAACTGTATATCATATTAAAAGTCGAATAGAATAAGCTTTTTTATTTATGAAACTTCTCGTAGAAATTAAATCCATACTAAGCGTCCGTCCTGCATGATGCTGGTTTACTTCTTTTGGTAATTGTATATTACTATGTCGTTGTACTCTGTTCTATCTGTTCATAATGTTATAAGGGTAATCTATATATACTCTAGGGTCGGGGTTGATAACCGCCCCTTTCCGAACCTGAAACGTTAGATTTGAATTTCTAATTTAACAGAAATAATGTCTGCATAAAAATGATGAAGGGATTCTTTTAAATTTATCATATATTAATTTCCGAGGAAAGAAATGCTTTTTTTTATTATTATTATTTTATTTGTCAATGAAATTTATGTGTGACCAATTCTGCAGCTGCGCACTTGAAGATATACTCTTATTCATTTTAAATGTTGACTTCTTTGAAGGAAAGACATTGCAACCGCATTACGTAAAATGCATATAAGAAACTTTGAATAACATTTATCGTGTATGTCGTTTAGGACTTATATTACAAAACAGAAGTGTCGAAAAACAAAAAACGTGAAATGAACTTCATTTAGCTATCATTCGTCTATTAAAATATTTATGTAGGAATTACATAAGTCATAGCCTTTTGCATTCCATGTTTTCAAAATCACTTGAGCTGTCCCAAAGTCCAATTTTCAGTAGGGAATAAGTCTTCTGAAAGTTTTCTGATGAGCCGTAGGGCTCAAAGGTTTAATAAATTGAAAATTGAAAGTAGAGACTTCGCATCCACGCCCCCCCCCCCCCTTCAAAACTGCTGGATCCGCCCCTGTGCATGTGTGCCCATTTAAGTACCATATTAGTGTTTACGGATAGGTCATTTTCAATGTAGACAGCATATAGCGTTCTATTATGGAGGTCTAGGGTTCGGTGCTGAGCAAGATGACTTAAAAGATTAAAATGGAAAAATGCCCAAAGAAAGGTGGTATTTTCTTACAAAAGCATGACAAATAAACATGACAAATAAGCTACCACTCCAACCCACCCCCAAAAGTAAAATTTAATGTAAAATATTAATGAATGAATGAAAAACATTGTAGGCGACGATTCCTGAGCGTCTAGGATTCTCTGGAAAAGATATTATGTATTATATGTATAATTAATCTCTCTCTCTCTCTCTCTCTCTCTCTCTCTCTCTCTCTCTCTCTCCCTCCCTCCCTCCCTCCCTCCCTCCCTCCCTCCCACACACACACAGACATATACTTTTGCTACGTTTCGTTTGGTTTTTGGGTTGCCGCTT